CCCCAAAACCCCAAAACCCCAAAACCCCAAATAGTCTCAGAAGTATTGAAATTGGTCTGTAAAATTAGTCTTTGGCAATTCCATCTGGAGGTCCTTCAACTACCTCTCTTGGGCTGGAAAGCTCATCCTCATGAGAATCATCAAACTTGAGTGGTTTCTCATGTTCTTGTACACTTTTTAAAATTTCATTGCTCTCTTTTGAAGGCTCGGGAGCTTTAGAATCTAATTTTTGAGAACTTTGACCGGCTAAATCAGCTTTTTCAAAAGCCTCTTCTTGCTTTACTTCTTTCTTATCAGAAGGGTGCGATTTCTTTAATGATTTGCCATCTTTTGCTACAAATATTACAAGAAATTACCTTCATTGAAGGACGATTCATACTTACTATCTTTGGGGGAAAGCACTTCATCATTTTTATGAGATTTTCTAAGATCTGATGAACTAGAATTTAATCTTTTAACTTTCTCTTCACTCTCAAATTCTTTTTCATAGATATTTTTCTCTTCTTCAGAATCTGAATCATTGTGTACCTGGATTGGGCTGGGAGGGTTTACAGAAGGATACTGATAACTTTTTGCCTTCTCCAGCAACTCCGTATCGCTAGAGAGCTGGCTCACAGTCAGATTAACCTTTTTAATCATCAATAAAGTTTTATAAGTAAGGTCAATGCAAAGTATCTCTTGGAGATTTTCTTTGGCTTTCTGTAGTTCTTCCTTGTGAACTGGGTTAAACGGTACAGATACAATCCCGAACAGTTCAAGTACTTCAAAGAAGTGTTCTGCCTCTATCAAATAAACATCTGTTTGCTTGTTCTTGGATTTGATTGTCTGAATAAATACTTTGTCTCCGAATAAATTAGCGTCAGGGTTTTGAGAGATATAAGTAGTTAAATCTGCTATTATTTTCAAACTTAAAGGTCTAAATTTGCTCATATCTAAGTTCTTTTTGTGTTTCTTTGGAGATGTATCCTCTGAATGGTTCATGGCCTTGTTGGAAGCTTCTTTATCATTTATATCTTTTTGAGAGGCTTCTTTTTGTAGCCTATAGGTTTAAGGACATTTTACTCTTTTTCACTTTTCTCAGACTCCTAGATGAGTTATTTATAGGGAATAAGAAATGCTTACTTGAATATGCTGAGAATCATTGATATATTTCTCACTTTCGTTTTTAGGAAATAAGTCTTCTTGATTTGTTACTTTATCTTTCTTTTTCAACTCTTGGGAAGCATCCTGATGAGCTTCCTTGGTTGAGGATTTTTCTTTGTTTTCATCAGGACTAAATTCTTCATATTCAACTTCACTATTTTCAGATTCTTTATGTTTAAAAACCTCTTTTGGCTCATCACCAAAACTTTTAGGTGTGAAAACCTTTAAATCAGCACTCTCCTCAGTATTTTCTACTTGTGGGCAAATTTCTCTACCTCACTCTTCACTACCAACCTCTCTAATCCTCTCTCCCTTCAATCCCCCTTCAGAATTTTCATCTTCATGATCCCCACTCATACCCTCTCCTTTACCTCTCACAACCTCTTCCTCCAGCTCATCCAACCCTTCATCCTCTACCTCACTTTTCTCTATCCCCTCCTCTTTCCTTCTTCGGTCAGTCTCCAAAGGCTCCTCTTCTTCCTGAATCTTAATAATCGCTGCTTGCGATGAGTGCTTGGTCGGGAGGCGGTCCAGGCATTGAGCAAAGCTTGGGTAGTGGAGATTGTCAAGGCCGGATCTGGTAGGGACGAAGAACTTTTGGAGGAGAAGGAGGAGTTCGATAGGGGTAAGGTCTAGGTCTTGGAATTCGATGATTTGTTTGACCTTTGATGCGCTGAGATAGCCGGAGTGGTCCTCGTCGTCAATCTTACAGGAGGAAAGGATCTAGAGGTGAGTTTTGAGGGGTTACTTCTTCTAAGAGATCTATAGCTGAAATTTTGGTCTTTTGAATTTTCAAGGAAATCGATTTTTCAATAATTTTTGGGTCTTCTTTTTGAAAAAGAGGGAACTATAGATGATTATGATAAAGCTTACATTTCAATTTATGCCTTTTGTACAAAGAGTTTCTACTATAGAGATGACCTCAGTCGACGACATAGATTTGTTTTCATCAAATTTGACAGCTCCATTCAGAATTGGCTCATCTTTTTCAAATATATACCTTGATATCTTTAATGCTTGTTCATCTTCGAGTCTAAATAACTCCTTAACTTTTAGTCTTAAGGATTCTAACGTAAAAGAGGTCTCTGGGAATATTTCCTTCAGATCCTCTATTTCCATTTTAGAGATATGAAGTCGCATGGAGAGAGCAATCGCTGTGATACTCTTCAACCTGATTGGAGGATTCTGATTCTTTGGAAGCTTCTCTTGTCCATCTTCTATCATGTGTTTTTGTGATTTGTTAGAAGTATCTTCAAATATATTCTCCTTTACTTCCTCAAGTCTTTTATTACTAGTCTTCCCTCTCCCATGAATGCTTGCTACTTGAGGTCTTGAGTTTTTAATAATATCAGGATCTTTTCCAGAAGTTGTTCTCTACAGAATTCATTAGGAAGCTTACCTTTGGGCTTTGACTGTTAAGATCTATATTTTTCTCCCTCTCTTCTTGATATAGTTCTTCATAGTATTTCCTCTGGTTGGTTTCTTCCTGCAATTTTTGGTAAATCTCATCAAAATTATCATCAGTGTTCGCTAGTTTCTTGGTTAAAGAGTTTACTTTATTAGTAAGAATCTTTTTCTCTTGTCTTAATGAGTCAATTTCCTTATTTTTAGTGATGATTTGGTCTAATGTTACTTCAAAGAGCTTACCTTTTTGTCTTTCGGTCGAGCTTCTCATGACAATATCGGTATTCTGCACTCCTTTAGTGTCAGTCTTTGTCTTTAGAAGGGTCAGCTCGTTTCTTATTTTGATAAGCTCTTTATTTTTCTCTTTATGTTGCTGTTTTAGTTTATTTTCTATACTGAGTATTCAGTCTTACTATCTTTAACAGATGCTTTGAGTTTCTCAATTCTTGTATCCCTCTCCTTGAGTTTTTCGGACTGGTCAATGATCTGCTTTTCTTTACTCTTGATGATTGTAGTAAGCTCTTTATTTTCCTTTTTAGCATTTTTAAGCTTGTTATCTTGAATTGTATCACTATTGAGCTGATTCTTAGGGCACTCCGTATTAGCTGGGGACTCTTTAGATTTGAGGACTTCTTCTAGAATCGCACGCATTCTCATTAACTCTTCTATGTATACTTTCTGATCTATCTCTAGCTCAGTAATTCTGGTATGTTTATAGTTCTTCTTCAGTTTTTCAATCTCAGTGTCCTTCTGTCGAAGTATATTCTTTTGCTCTGCTACTTGTTTCTTTAGAGCAAGTACAAAAAGGGTTTCTAAGATTTATAGAAAGTTCATACCTCTTTGTCTGGTCATAGTTTTACCGATCTTACCCACAAATTGAGGTGCTTGTTTTATTTCCTCTGTAAGGATTTCATTGTTAACCTGTTCCTTCTCTAATTGCTTAAGTTTAGTCTTTAACCTAATATTTTCATCTTTGTACTCATTCATCAGGTTTTTGTATTCAATCACTTGGTCGTAGAGCTTCTCTTTATCAAGTTTTGGCCTTCTCGGCTTGATCCTCTTAACTTCATTTGTCTTTGCATCGATCGTGACTCTAGCATTATTGTTGAAAAGAGTCCTAAATTATGAGGAAATAAAGGCACTTTTTGGGAACTCTAAACATTGAAGCTGATCTGGCTATAGATTCCTTTCCTCCATAATTTCTAGAATTATAGAATTAAGGACATACTTTATTAAACTTTGGATTTTGGCAAGAAAATCTTTGCTCCTATCAGGAGTTTTGTTAAACAAGCGCTCTTCATTCCCATTACTGTTTCGTTGAGCGTGGAAATTATTTATGGTTGGAATTCGGATTTGGCCTAACAATTATTTCATCTCATATCTAGCAGATCTTTCCATACCTTTAACTCCATTTAGCACGAGTCTATTGCTTTTGGGTCTATTTCATGATCCTTTATTAAGTCTCTTCTTCAATCTTCTTTGATATCCGCGAATGTCTTTGTCTGGAGTTTGCTCCTCTTTCTCTTCGCTTCCAGGGCTGTCTTCATTCACTTCTATAGACATGACACTTAGTAGAGCAGATATGAATTTATAATTTCTCTACAAAAGCAAAAGATTTGGTTTAAACCTCTTAATAATGCTGGCCAATTAGTATTCCGTTCAAAGCCAAAGCCGATTTTGACTTAGAAAAAATGCTTGTAACGAGAGATTTACCAGGATTTATATGGACACCAAAATTTAAATTCTAAGCATCTTTGCTTTATATGCTTAAATCTGACAGTTTTTATTATTAATTACCTTTATCACCCAAAAATGGCAACAGATTATAATAAAATGAGACAAATATATGTACAGTTTAAGTTGCATCATAAAGCCGGGGAAGAAAAACCATTAAAAAATAGAAACTCTTATGCATAACCTACTGTAATTATACCATATCAGGTTCTTCACCGACTCAATTCATTTTCATTATTTACTATTACCAAAATAAACTATCTTGGAGGACTAGAAGGGCACTTATTTATTTCGTGCATAAAGTGAAGGCTTTAAATACATAATAAAGAGTCTAAGCGGTGACTACTTTTGATATAAATCAAGACAGATTACAGTTATTTGGAGCAGGTTTTATCTCCAATTCCTGCCTTGTGTAATAAGAACACATGGGTAAAAATAAAACTTACCTTGAGGTTCCATTGTTCGAAGTTTCAATTAAATTTATTTTAAATGGGGTTTTGGGGTTTTGGGGTTTTGGGG